GGGGGGGCGAGAGGCGTTTCCACGACACAGAACCGGATCGCCGCGCCAACAACCGTTTACGCCCCAGCCCTTCCACGGGGTGCTGGAGGGCGCGTCGCGTCCCCTGAGATGAAGCCGCCCCTCCCCCTCCACTCTACTCCCGAGGCCACAAGAAGAGAGAGCTGGTCGTGGCTCTTTCGGGCCCAACGGAGTACCCGTCTCGCTGCACATGGGGTGGGCGCCTCTCAAAAGGCCACACCCCAACCAAAGGGGTGTCAGAAGGCGGCAGGGTCGAGCGCGGGGTGGCCATAGGGGAGAGCGCCACGCAATCCGTCCGATACAACACACACTTTGCGCTTATTTCCGATACCACTCGAAACTAATTGCACATGGCACTCAACAATTTGTCGCGCGAGTGAAGCCTCCGGGATAGGGGTGATTATACTGGTAGGTACAGCAAGAGTCCACCTTGAGACGACACTAACGAGAACTGAGATGGAATGGGGAAGAAACCGGGCCCACTGGGCAACGGCTGCGGCGCGAGGAGGAGGCAGCTGGGCGACAACGGTATGTTGACATTGCAAACGCATTAAATGGTTAATGATGTTTAAAGTCCAAAATCGTAAGCCTGCTTCAAATTATAGCTTTTCGTCGTGAAACTTGGTCTATTTTCTTATGAGGTTTCCAATATTATGATCACTATACAGTCCGTATTGTTCTCTCAAGCCGGGAAAAGTAATTGTGCGCAACGTAGAACATAAAGTCAAAAAAAAGTGCCTTGCCATAACACGGATAACATGACCTGTCGTGCTAGGGGAGCTAGGTGAGAGCTGTGCAGCCACATCAGCGGTACAAACAACCTTTTACCCCACTCCACTCGGCTAGTCCGGCAGGCCCGGCCGGCGATGGGGATGCCCGTGCCGTGCCGCGCCGGGAGAGGGGAGCGGGCGGCGTGGGGCGGGGAAGGGAAGGGGAAGAGGGAGGGAAGGGACGAAGGACGGGCCCTTAAAACGGGGGCGCATCCCTCCGCAGCGTCAGTCCAGCCTCACTTGTCCCGCCGAGTGCACCAGGCGGCGAGCGCCGCAGACCAGGATACAACCCCACGAGTGTGGCCACACTGTGGCCTCCGCTGCCAGTGCCGCGCGCAGCGCCGCGGGCCGGGCCGCGCCGGGCGTGCTGGTTGGATCCCGCCAGGGTTGGGGCTGTGTGTTCGAATACCTCACCGGGTTGGATTCATCCAGTGCGCAGGCCGGAGCTCGGCCCTCAGGACTCTCCCAGGATCTCGGCCTCCTCCTCCTCCTCCCCGGCAGTACAGGCAGGTCAGGCCCGGCGAGGCGAGTTGGGTCGCGGGTGTCGGTCAAGTTTCACGTGCCATCTTGGGCGTTAACGTAAAGTATCGTGACTAGATCGAACACTCGTCTCTCGCCCCGCCTCGCCTCCACCAAGGAGTTCTTCACTGCCTCCTCCATCAGAACAGTGCTGTTCTGATGCCTCTCTTCGGGTGCACACCAATCCCGTCCTGTATATTCTTCTTTGGTGATCTACTTGTATGAGTCGCTTGATGCGCATATCTCATAAAGCTAGGTCAGCAAGGCAGAATGTACAGGAACCAAGTCAACGGTGTTGCATACCCATCAACGTTGGAATCACCTCATCTCAGCACGTCTCTGTTTCATGGTTGCGGCAGGCTAAAGGAACTACAGTTGTGGCATGTTGAAGTCGAGACCATATCACAGCTTTAGTTACTCTTAAGCTTGCCGCAAACAGTCGACAAGTCAGACGCAACAGTTGGGGACGCCGTTTACATCAAGTTGCCTGTCCATGTCCTTGTATTTGGCTCAAGGAACTACTGGTGTGGTATGTTTTACATGCTTGCTCATATCACAGCCGTAGTTACCTGCGACTCAAATTGCAAGTCCTGCAAGCCCTCATCAACATCTGCTAGACTTGGACGAGCAGGAAATGGAGCTGAGGCCAGCTGGGTCAAGTGGCAGGCGTATGCTTACTTGTCATGCGATGCATAGCACCACATGATTCAGCTGCCCCAGGTCCAGGCACCACCATCATCAACCCATCGGCGTCACCAGCAGCAAGACCATCGAGGGATCATTAATAACTAGGAAAAAGAGACAATAGGAGGTGGACTTCACACAGCTTGGTGCTTTTGTGACACATCACTGGGTGAAGTTTGTCCCCTAAATGCTCAATATCGCAATCAAATGATTGCATTTCCATCTGCAACTGGCTTAATTGTGTTTGATGCTTTCCTGATAGTTTTTGATAGTAAAGATATTTACATGAAAATGGTAAAGTGGGGAGAAGTAAAAGATGCTAACATTACATGCCTTCAA